TTTGAACTCACAAAGATGAGTCTTCCTGATGCCAGGACCGGCACTCTATCTGCTGTGCCACATAGTGACTTAGTGATTTACTCAAGGCCAAATAGCTAGTAATTGTCGAAGGAAGGATTTGAACCTAGGCCTATCTAGCCCCTAAGTCCTGCAGTAATCCATTACCTCCCACTACCTCTCCAGTCTCACGTACTACCTAGCTATTTGAATTATCTCTACAGCCACAGCTAATCAGTCTTGTAATTTTAATATATGTGTGGAAAACTTTTTATTGGTCTTCCCAGTTCAAGGCTTTAAAAAAATAGATAAATAATAGGCATAATAGGGATCTCACATTCTCAGCTCTCCTTAGTCAATTATGTGTTCATAAAGATATAGTTTGCTATAGAGAATCATCTGTAGAAAGTTTTCTTATTCTCCTGGTTTCATCAAAGCTAACCTCTAAGTGCTCACAGCCCATTCTCAAAGATTTTATAGAAATGTAAAGGCAGAAGTATAAGTCAACAGTTGCTGGTATTTTCTTGATTGTCCTTTTTAGATAAAAAAAACACCATCTTTTCCTTTTTTTCTGGAATCTTCTCCCCTTATTGAGATATCTTGAAAAGCAATCTTTGAATTCCATTCCTCCTTAGCAATGTCTTTGCTGTCCTCTGGTTTGATTTATAGCTGAGAAAGCCAATATTGACAGAGTTCATCAATAATGAAATGTGTCAACTCAAAGAATCACAGTATCATAGATTTAAAGGTAGAAAGGGATTTTAGAGGTCATGTAAGCAACCTCTTCAATTTATAGAAAAGGAAACTGAGGATCAGAACGTTTAAGTGACTTAGCTGGAGTCACACAGCTAATAAGTGTCAGAGGTGGCATTTGAACCCAGGTTTTCCTATTTCTAAGGCTGACATTCTATCTACCATGCCATGATGTCTTTAGGCATTGTCAAACATTACATATGAAGAATATCAAGAATTAAATTGTTTCTAGATGTTTTCAAAACTATGATTATTTTTTTCAGTTTCTGCCCCCTTTCTCTATCACAAGGCAAAAGAGGGTTGTTTAGACGGAGAACTTTGCTGTATTTTTGTCTCTTTCATGGGTAGCTATGACCAAAAATAAAAGTGGCCAACCTTCTCATGTTTCTTTTTATTTGATATGGAAGATACAATCTATCAGAGGGCCCATACTCAAAATCTTTGAGTATGTCAAAGCCTTCAAGAGCCCAGGGCCACCCATGCACCACAGTGAAGAACTGAAGTAAGACTTTGATGAAGAAAACTAAGCATGAAAAAATCATAATCATATTGTCTGTACAGAAATCACAATCATTTATTTGAAATATATTTTAGAAACAGCTAGACACTCATATGAATAAGCCTAGTTACCCATCTAGTATTATTTTAGATAATCTGGAATCCAAAGCTCCTCCCTTTCGCCCCACCCCCCTACCCCATCTAGAAGTATTTTTGGAAAGTCTATTCAGAATGCAGAGAATGTGATTATGGTGAGGGTGGGGCTAGGGGGAGAGAGATGAGAGGGAAAAGAAATGCTTGTTAATTTAAGAAAAATAGTTTACAAATATTTTAAAAAGAAATTGAACATATTCACTAATATAGTCCCAGATTATATTTAAGTAGCAGAAGTTGTAGATATTACTGGGCATTTCTTGCTAAACTTGAACCACAGCTGTTGACTCTGGAAACTTCCATATATTTACAGTGAGTGAAAAATGTAGATGTGCTATAGGGAATTCCCCCTCCCATTTGACTTTTCTTCATGTTCTTACTATGACTGAGTTGTATGAGATTAAATAAATGTATATATCTACTACAGGAAACAATGCTAGAAGAGTGTCATATAATACAGAAAGTATTAGACTAGCAGTTTAAAAACCTGAGCTCTAATCTGTGTGGTACAGCATAAAAAAACAGAGGACTTGGCAGTCAGAGGTCCTGGGTTCTAATCTCATTTTTGCTATCACCTGCTACTTATGTGATCTTAGGGCAAGATACTTAACCTCTCTGGCCTCAATTTCCTCATCTATTAAATGGGGATGGTTTGATTAAATTACTTCTAAGATCACATTCAACTCTAAATTTATGATTTTATGATTTCTGCTCTGCCATTAATTTAGCTATGTGTCCCTTAAACATGTCAGTGCCTCTAGCTTTCTGTTTCTTCATGTATAAAAGGAAGGGGTTGAATTAGATGATGCCTTCCTGGTCTAATGTTCTGTGATACCAGCTACACCAAAGTAGTTATGGCTATAATTATTTTTGTCATATCTATGACAAAAATAACTCTATTTTAATAAAATAATATGTTATAACAGTTATATAATTATATAAATATATTATATAATATTAACATATTAAATAGTAATATAACCGTATTAACAATTATCACTAGACCTTATATAATTATAGCTACACTATTTTTTGTCAGACTCCACAAGCTTGCTGTATGAAGCAGAACAAAAGGTGCCCCCAAGTTCCCTTCATCCCATTGCCCATTTGTAGACAATTGAACTCAATGCTAAGCTACAGGATGCTTCACCCAAAGCAACAGATGAGCAAGGACTTTAATAGAAACATTTCCCAATATACTCAGGTTTGGATATTTTTAATGTCAAGCAAGTTATGATGCTGGGCATTTTTTGTATCAAAGTTCAGAAAATAAGGAACACTTACTGGATGAAACAGTGATATGTTATATAATTATGGAGATTTTTGTTAAGTCGTTTTCGAGTTGTGTCTGACTCTCCATGACTTCATTTAGCAGAGATATTTGAGTGGTTTGCCATTTCCTTCTCCAGCTCATTTTACAGATGAGGAAATGCAGCAAACAGGTTAAAATGACTTGCCCAGGGTCACAAAACTAGAAAGTGTCTGAGATTTGGACTCAGGAAGATGAAGACTTCCTGACTCCTGGCCTTGCACTATGTTTACTGTGCCACCTAGCTGCCCAAACTATGAAGACACTTCCAGCAAAATGTACTTTTGTGTATTCACTTTCCCCCCCCCTCTGGGAACTTTTTAAAATGAATAACACAGAACCACAAATGAAGGAATGATGCTTTTGCAAGTGACTCCAAATATGGTAGGAGCATATATGATTTAGTCCAATACATTCATTTTTACAAATGAAGAAACAGGCCCAGAGATTTAAATGACTTGAAGAGTAGCAGAGCTAAGATTCCAATGGAGGCCCTCTTACTTCAAGCTTTCTTCTAAGGATAAAGGATAAAGCCAAAAACAAATTGAAACTTAGTCTCACATGGATCATTTTTAAAATTCCTAACGAAATCAACGGACATTGAATCTATCTTAGAACTAGTTTTGCCAATTAGGATCACTAAAGAATCTAATTTAGTAACTCTATTAAGTTATACCTATTTGTAAGTGATTCATTTTCTTTTAAATATATACTTCCCTAGATTTTTAATTAATGTTGAATAACTTCTAACCAGGATTGATGTTGAATAACTTCTAACTAGTGAGGCTGCATAGTGTGATGGAAAGAAGCGAAGGACCATTCATTACCAGTATGATTGTAGGCAAGTCGCTTAACCTCTTGGACCTCCGTTTCCTCAAATGCAAAATGGTAGAGGTAGACTAGATGACCTCTAACATCCCTTCCAGCTCTAATTCCATTCTTCTTCCCATGAATGGTAGACTTAAAGAGGAAGAGAATTTAAGGTTAAAGGGACCAAAATAAGACAGGATTCTAAGAATGACCAAGGAGGGTACCTTGAGATATGTTTGTGAGGACACGCAGTCCTGTGTGTTTCAAGTATATTCACATTGGATCATTGTTTGTTTTCAACCACTGGCTATTTCACAAGCTTCACTTTGAATCTTTATTTATCTCTCAGGAGGGACAGAACTGACCTGAGAAAGCATTCAGCATAAGGTATACCTTCAGCTCCAACTGTTTTGGGATGATGTTTGAGCAAAGTAGAGTGGCTGCTGAAAATTACTTTGACACATTTCAGCTTTCTCTAGGGATTGGGTAGTGTCATGACGGTCATTACTTGGCAATCACATTTCTGTGTCTCAATCTTGGCTAGTTTTTAAAAAGTTCTAAGAAAACTATGTGTACTGCTTTGGAAAAGAAACAAGAATACACAGAGGATACTTCTTTTAACTCTGCCTCTTCTTTACACCTCCCTCCCTGTTCAAAGCAACCAAGTGCATGCAACAGTCTAATATAATGAAAAATGATGAAATTTACATGCATGAGTCAGGAAACACAGTAATTACATCCCTTTATGACATTAATCTAATATGCAAAATATATTACGGCATAATTTTTACTGCCTAATTATAAAGAGGAAAATATATGTTGAAAATTTTTGACTGGCAATTGCTGTTGTCAGTGCATCATCCTTGGCAGTTCCAGACACATATTTTAAAATGTAGAGATGAAAACTAGTACGACATTGTAGATTTACAACAAATAAGAGGCAGATCACTTATTTGTTCATAATGGAAATGATGAGGAACACAACGATGAGGCATTGAGGTCATAGATGACTCTCATTAACAAGGATGGTTTCTCTCTGTTCTTAATAAACGTTCATCACCAACCTATGGTTTTTAATGCCGTTCTTCTCTTACAGACCACTAGTAGTCTTTCAAGGCCTTTTTTTGTTTTGTTTTTGCCTTTTTTGGGGGGGGCGAGGCAATGGGGTTAAGTGACTTGCCCAGGGTCATATAGCTATTAAGGGTCAAGTGTCTGAGGCCAGATTTGAACTCAGGTCCTCTCGACTCCAGGGCTGGTGCTCTATCCACTGCACTACCTAAGCTGCCCCCTCAAAGCCTTTTACAATGATTATTGAACTTGTCTATTCTAGTATTAACATTAATATTGCTCATATTGATATTGCTGTTCTTATGCCACCCTATACATTTCTGGTTTAGTAACAAATAATTACAGTTGCCCCTTGACATTTGCAGGGGTTATGGATGCAGGACCCCCATGAATGTGAAAAATAACAAATAGCTCTAGGCCCCATCCCAGACCTTTATTTTTAATAATTCTGATTACATTGATTTAACACAAAAAAAGTAAAGAAACACACTGTACCATAAAAAAGTTACAGTATATGTGAGAAAGAGGTTAGTATCTTGCACACTATGCAGAGTCTTCACAGCCACCTATACAGCTGCAGCAACTGCTTCATGGATTTCCTTGGCTTGTTCTCAAGATACAATGAAACCTGCAGAAGAAAATCATGTGACTGAGTCAAAATGGCAGAGAGACAAAGAGAAGGCATTCTCAAAGAGAGTGCTTGAGCCCTTACCTCTTCAGAACATTGAAGCTTTTAACAAAATTTAACTGTTTATAATAAATTCATCTATGTATACTTATGGTAGTAAATGATAAAATAGATTAATAATATATGGTATTTATGCATTTATGACTTACTGATTTTTTAGTTTTCTTTTCATATGTGTATCATTGGCAATTTTCTGAAGTACCCCACAAATCTCCAAAAATTTTCGTTTAATTATCGATAGTCAACTCATAAATAACCAAAACCTCAGATGTGAGAGATGACTGTACTTAAATACTTAATAAACTCAAATATTACCTCACTGGTAGCTCATCAAAAAACAGAGCAATCTTATTTATTTAGGTGAGTTTCCTTCTCCTCACTCATCTGCCCAGCTCTAGTGGTAAGAAAAAGCTGATGATATAGGTTTTCCATTGGAACCTTTGGCTGAAGTGGTTTCTGACTTTCCACAGTGGTCAGAGAACTGCTCTTCGACATAGAATGTTCATAGTCCTAAAACGTTGGAGTCCAGAATGACCTTAGAGCACATTGAATTGAACTAACTCCTCTGTTTTACAAAAGAGTTATCTGAGGTTCAGTCCCTTGCCTATGGTCACTCAGATAGTATTATAATAGGGAGGTCTCAACTTAATTATTTTGTGTGCCAACACTTGTAAAATGATAGTCTGAAATTCAGAAAACTTTTCCTAGAGCTATAAAGTTCTTAATGAGTGATTAGTTTCCCAGGTTGGACTTAATATAAAACCTTATCATGTAGCTGAAATACATTTTAAATGAAAAAATAGTATAAAACAACACTTTTTACCATGTTATTTTAAAAAATACAATTGAGTAAGAAATAGCTTTTTACTTATCTGGAATATAAATGCTTCAGAAAAAAGAAAATATTTTAATTGTAGAAAGATTTTATTCCTTCTACTACTAAGCTTTCATTAAGTCTTCTGATGAAATGCTATGGAAATGACTTTGAGTGCTTGAAGATTATATCAATGGAACACAAGCCTTGGTGGATACACCAAGCTGGAAAGGCTTTCAGTTATGTTACTGTCATTCAAGGACTAGCCTACCTAAATCTGGAGAAGCTTTCCATCAGGTGATCTCAGGGTGACGTCTTCTTTGGCCACAGCAATTCTCAAACCTGATGTATCAAGACAGTTACATATAGGTGGCACAATGGATACAGCCCTGGATCTGGATTCAGGAAGACTTGAATTCAAATCTAGCCTTAGACACTCATTAACTAGGACCTGAGGCAGGTCACTCCACCTATTTGCCTCAGTTTCCTCAATTGTAAAATGGGGATAAATAATAGCACCTATCTCTCAGGGTTGTTGTGAGGATCAAAGGAGATATTTGTAAAGCACTTAGCACAGTGCCTGGCACATAGGTGCTTAATAAATGCTTATTACCTCCCCCCTTTCCCTTCTCTTTCCTGGTCAATTTGTCAGGGAAAATTTTTGTCTATATATTTTATAAAAGTTGCAGATCCTTGAAATCTTCATTCTATAGATAAGGAAACTGAAGTTCAAGAAAGTTAGGTAAATTACCTATAGCCATACAAGTAGATAAGTATTGGTATTGACACTCTACTTCAAGTGTACCAACTACAAATTCAGCCCTTGCCATCAATGAGGTAGCATGGACAAGTGGATAGAGCACTGGACCTAAGATCTGGGTTCAAATCTTGCCTCAGATACTCGGTAGTGTGACCCTAGGCAAGTCCCTTAATTTCTCTATACCTAAGTTTCTTTACCTGTAAAATGAGATGATGGGACTCAAAAGTATCTAAGGGCCCTTCCAGTTCTAAATTTATCATCCTACACTCACTCAAACCTCACCTGTCTAAAACCGATATCTTCATCTTCCCCTAATGACTTACCTACCACCATACTTCCAAATACCTTTGTTTAAAAGCTCAGTTCTTTCTTGAATCTGATATTCAGCACTAACCACTAACCAACTGCCACTGACTGGCTGGAAAGTCCAATAGCACCAGGAATGTCAGTACTTCCTAAACCCAGGGTCCTGCTTTCAGCCCAGCCTCTAACACCATCATCCTGGAAAGCAGCTGGAGAAAGGGGCCACCCATCTCCGCCAATTGCCAGTCCACTGCCACCTCCAGGGCAGGCAAACCAGTCTAGATGAAGAGGCAATGTATTTTGAGAGAGAGCTGGCAGCAAGTGCGTGGTGACCTAGACCACTGCCCCCTCCTTAACCACCTCAGTGCCCAAAGAAGACAGCCAGGACCACGGGCCCAAGATCACTGCGAATAAATAACAGTCTTCCCCAGGCCACCTGCAATGCTTCCAAGTCTGTTCCCCATAGCCATCACTGAAGGGTGCAATCCCTGTGAAAAAGAGGACTTTCTGTTTTGCCACCACTGACATCAACACTGACCAACTGCCACCAACATGCTGCTAAGCCCAAGAGCCCTGAGAATGCGTATGTGCTTTACACTGTGGATCCTTATTTCCAGCCCAGCTCCCTCAGCAGGAACAAGCTCTGTGAATATGTGACCTGAAAACTGGCCTCTGCATCCTCAGCAATCACTGAAGACACCAAAATGTAAGTACTCAACACTAAAATCCTTGCCATTTTCAAATGGTTGAAAGTCAGAAACAGATATGATTTTGTCAGTGAAAGAGACATTAAAGATACTTAACTATCGGCTTTGTCATTGCATCCTCCTCCTTACCTGTTACCTTTTCCACTCCCCTTACATGCTGTCTTCTTCCATTAGAACGTAAGTTCTTCTAAGGTAGGGACTGTCTTTCTTGTATTTGCATCCCCAGCACTTAGCATAGCAGCTGGCCCAAAGTAAGAGAAGGAAAAAGAATAAGCATTTACATAACACCTACCAGAGATATCACCTTGCCAATAAATAAACAGATAGTCAAAACTATGGTTTTTCCAGGAGAGAGAGAGAGAGTGAGTGTTGGACTATAAGGAAAGCTGAGTGTCACAGAATTGTGGTGCTGGAGAAGATTTTTGAGAATCCCTTGGACAGTAAGGAGATTAATTCAATCAATACTTATTATACTATTTTTATTTATTTATTTATTTAGGCAATTGGGGTGAAGTGACTTGCCCAGGGTCACACAGCTAATAAGTGTCAAGTGTTTGGTCTGAGGCCGGATTTGAACTCAGGTCCTCCTGACTTAAGAGCCGGTGCTCTATCCACTGCGCCACCTAGCTGCCCCCAATTCAATCAATACTTAAAGAAATTAATTCAGACTATTCTCTGGAAGGTCAAATACTAAAGTTGAAGCTTAAATACTCTGGCCATATAATGAGAAGACAACTCATTGGAAAACACCCTGATGCTGTGGAAGAATGAAGGCAAAAGGAAAAGGGAATGGCAGAGGATGAGATGAACAGATAGTGTCATGGAAAAAATGAACATGAGCTTGGACAGACTTTGGAAGATAGTGGAGGATAGAAAGGCCTGGCATGTTATGGTCCATGGGGTCACATTGGATGTGACTGAATAACAACAGCTACCAAGGTCACATAAGTAAGGATCTAAAGATGGATTTAAATCTGGATCTTCCTGCTATCACACACAAGCTTTTAAAGTATTTTTACTTTTTTATGAATTTATTTCTCATAGGATCATAAATTTGGAAGTGGAAAGGATTAAGAGGTAACCTCATTTTCACAGTCCTTGTTTCCTCAAGTATACTGAAAGTTCCTTAAAGGTAGGAACCATTCTTTGTGTATCAAGAAAGCTTTATAAACACAGAGATCCTGCTTAGTTTTCCCCATCCATTCTCCCATACCAGGTAACCCAAGAAGTCTTGGGCCTGGCTCTCCCCAGCCTTCCTCAGAAATTATAGGGAGACTGGGTGGTATTTGGGTGGAGGCAAAGTGCCCACACAGTTGACTGGGAAGGATCTTGGGGATACCCAGGTTGGAGCTACTCTTCACGATGAATCCCTGCAGAATTGTGGCACAAAGAGAGACCTATAGTGGGGTTCTTTGATCAGTCCTGTGTTGGAGCTGAATGCAGGGAGTTCATATGTCCCATGATGAGACAAAAGGAGCCCTGAAGATATTCCCTCTGTCTCTCCAGGGAGACTTTGATGGAGACACCTTTGGTTGTGTCACCTCCGGCTTATGAGAGCTGCTAACATAGGGATGCTAGGGTGTTCCTCATAAGGTGATAGAGGAAGGACTGAAAATGGGAAAAGAGATTGGCTGCCCTCTGCTGTGAGCTCAGAAAAACTGCAGGCAGAGAAACATGGAAGAGAGATACTGCCCCAGGATCATAGGATCATTAGAGGATCTGAGATGTCTAGCTAGAAGGGATCTCAAGAGATTTCAAAAGTTTTAGTCTAATCTTTTTTGTTTTTTGTTTTTGGGGTTTATTTTTTTGGTAATTGGGGTTAAGGGACTGCCCAGGGTCATGCATCTAGTAAGTGTCAAGTGTTTGGTCTGAGGCTGGATTTGAACTCAGGTCCTCCTGACTTCAGGGCTAGTGCTCTATCCACTGCACACCTAGCTGTACCCCCTTTTGTTTTTTAGAGATTAAGGGATTAAGGGGTCTTCAGGAAGGGAAGCATTATAAAGGCACTACCCAGTCCCAGTGACGGTCTTGCTTTTGTTATTTTAGTCCCTGGAAGCATTTGAGAAAAGAAAAAAATAAAGACATGTTATCATTCTCTGGATGGAGAGAGGCCTAAGATCTGTAAAGACGGGCCTCTTTGCCTTTTTGCCTTCTTGTTCTTTGCCTCTTTGCAGTTGACATTTCCTGTTTTAGGTGAAGGAAATTAGAGATGGCAGTAACCTTCTGAGCTCTAAAAGGGTAGGAGAGTGGGCTACCAAAAGTCTGGGCATTGGCAACCACCATCCTGGGATTTGACAGAAGCCTGATGACCTGAGAGACCTGCTTGACCCAACCCAGCAGCAGCAGAGATATGGACTTCAACAAACATTGGCCATGCCATATTTGGAAATGAACTTGATGAGGCGAATGTTAAATAGAAACTACATTAAGTCCAACCCCACTTTCCCCAGGACTGGGATGATGTAAGAGATAGTTTGCCCGTAGGTATTTGGGAAAAATTCTGTACTTCTGTCCTTGCTATACCTTTATAGTAAAGATCCCTTTGTAAAAGCTAATTAATATTAACTGGCCAAATGGAACCAGGTTTAATAATTACTAGTTAACAGTGGGGGGGACATACCAGAATTGGAGCTCAAGTCCGTAGTATTAGAAAACTTTGAGAAGAGTTGTAGCCAGCCTTGTTCTGGGAGAGTGAGTCCACAGTCTCAATGCATTAGCATCAGAGGTGACATTTTAAGCCAAGTCCTCTGATTCCATAGTCAGTCCTCTCTACTATTTTGCCTCCTAGACTTAGACGTACTAGGGATCTTAGAGATCATCTAAATCCAAGCCCCCCCCCTTTTTTTTTTGCAGATAAAAAAACTAGGACCTAGAAATGTTAAGTCATTTGCCCTTTCTAGGCAAAGCCTGGATTACAAGGCTGATCTTCTGACTCTGACTCTAGCACATTGAGGGACCAAAATGTTCAAAAAGGAGACATAGTAAGGATCCAAAATGGAACTCAAGTTATTGCTGGGAATACTACCCAGTGGCTGTATGTTAGTGAATGAAGGTAGGTTGCTATAGGTAACTTCATCAGATTGTGTGATATTCATATGGGGGACTAATATGGTGTCCAAGACTCCATGACTTTTTGGTTCTCTAAGTGGTCTGAGCCATAATTCTCTGATTGTTCAGATTAAGAACTACTGTTATTCTTCAGATCTAAGGAGATAAACTGTCTTCATTCTGATCATGTAGAACATCTAGGTAAAGACTAGGTGCTTTTTAATTCACAGAGGGTGGAAACTCAGAAGCACTGTGTCTTGAGCAAATGTGCTCCAAAAGATTTCTAAACCTTAATGGGAAAAGAGTTAGAATCATTTCCACTTAGACCTAAAAGAATACTAGACTTTTAAAAAAATCCATAACAATCAAATTTAATGGAAGGACTCAACAGACCTAGCTTTAAATCCTTCTATATCACATATCAACCTAATTTTGTAACACAAAGGTATTAATTAACAATCGATAAGATTTATACTTATTTATTATAATAAAAATACGTTTTCTGAAAATGGAAAAAGCATGATCAGTGGCCACATATATTATTCCTGCATCTCTCAATTCTTAATATCTGAGGAATTTCCATTGACAAGGGCCCACGTGTGTATTAGTGGGCACCACAAATCACTAGATGGTACTTGCCAATTGCAGTTCTAGTGTCTAGGGAAAAAACAATCAGTTTCTGTTTCTAAATCTATGACAGAAAATATCTCAAAAATCACTCAGGTTTATTTACCCAATTTGGTTTTTCTTCTGGGTACAGAGAATTCATCCTTTTACTTCCACGAAGACATATGTTAATCTTTTTTCTTCACTTCTCATCTAATATCCAAATGCAATATATTTTTCTAAATATATCTATGCAATTCATCTGGAGAATAGGTGGAAGGTATGTCTGTATAGTATAAAGATGCTGAATTACAATGACAAAGACAATATCTGACCAATTCATATATATATACATATATATATATATACATATATATATACATATACATATATGTATATATATATATACGTGTATATATATATATATATATATATATATATATATATATATATATATAGGTCAGTAGAAAGAGCACTGTATTTAATAGTCTGTTCTGATTCCCAGCTCTTACATTTACTAGCTGTGTGACCTGTAGCAAGTCATTTTATCTTTTTTAGTCCTGGTTTTCTCATCTGTAAAATGCAAATAAAGGTTGTTGTCAGGAAATCATTTTGTAAACAGTAAAGTGCTATATAAGTTTAAGATATTATTAATAATACTTTAGGGAGATATTTCAATATACAACCGGCAATGTGTGAATATTCTATAATCATGTTCTATAATCACACATTTAAATGTCTATGTCATACTTCTGATAACCTCCAAAGCCTAGTACTAGTTCTTATTAATAGCACTTTACAATTCACAAAACTTTCCTCATGAAAACCCAGGAAGTGGATAGCATTAATATTGCTATCTCCTTCTTATAGATGAAGAAACCAAAATTCAGCCAGGCATTTAAACTCATTAGTAAGTTCTTCCCAAACTGCCTTATTTTTCAGTTTCCCACCCAACGGGAAACAGGCAGTCAGTCACAGAACATTTATCAAACGCTTATTATGTTCTAGGCGTGGGGTGGGGAACCTATGGCCTGAAGGCCACAAGTGGCCTTCTAGGTCCTTGGGTGTGGCCCTTTGACTGAACCCAAACTTCACAGAACAAATCCCCTTAATAAAAGGATTTATTTAATAAAAGGAAAAGATTCTAGGCTCTGTGCTAACCACTGGGAATGCAAAGAAAGGCAAAAACATGATCCCTGTTCTACTGGGGTTCATATTCTAATGGAACAGACAATAACAAAATAATGAAAACAACTGCATATATATAAAATAGTATAGTATATTAGTATTCACTAGTATAAGTGAAACTTCTGATAATGGGGCTCCTGAGAGTGTATTTCTCTCCTTCTTCAGTCCCTCCCAGTCTATTTGGTGTGAGCTGTGCCTTTTCTTTCCTCTGTAAGTAGATCTGAAAGACCTCAAAACATGGAATCATCCCAGGCTTCTTTTCCCCTCTGATAATATCTTTTAATTAAGATCTGATTATCTAGATGACAAGCTACCAGTGTAGGTTACTCTTATTTTCTCTCCATATATGTTTCAGCACATATAGAAGCAGGCTAAAGGACTTGAGTCAG